GTATTTTTGGGCATCAAAATTTACCCCTTAACGTTGTGACCAAATGAGCACTTCCCACGACATTGGTAGTTTTAATGACAGCCTTTTGAGTCTAAAAGAAAAACAGCGAAAACCAGAGACCCCCTGTTTGCAGTGACAGTGTCACGCTCTGCAAACCAGTGCCTAGAGGGTGCTAGTTGTACTTTACTCAGGGGAAGTGTAAAATTATCCCATCATGCTTCTACTCCACTTCTGAGATTTTTAGACAATCTTTAAGTTTTTTTTATCAGCCTTAAGGCCTGTTCACACATGCAGCGGAGCGCTACAAGCATAGCGCTGACCTCGCGCTAAGCACGTGCCGACGGGAACGTTCACCAGCTTTGTATTGCACCGTCAAAACTGTTGCTGAGGCCAGACGATAAGTACCTGACGGCACGTGAGCAGCGCTACAACAGCGCTTCGCTGCATGTGAGAACCGGCCTTTATAGGAAAGTCTGAAAACTGTACAGAGGCATGTTAACTTTTAGAGGTTTTTTTTTTTATATGCTAGGAGGGCTTTGTACGGCACTGGGGTGAATTCGGAAGGTATCGGTGGCAATTTTGGAAGGCTCTCAGATCTATCGATTGTAAATGATTTGTTTGCCTGCAGATCAAACCATGGCACTGCCCTACGGTTGGAAATGTGAACAGTTGCTTGCTGAGGGAGAACTTCGAGCTTTTCTATAGCTGGCTTGCCAAGCAGCTGCCGGTATGTTGGGGTCTCGGATGATGTAAACTTTCTCTAACTCGCTGCAGTTTTTGATTGAAAAATTCATTTTTGTGCCTCCCAGAACCTGAAGTGACCTTCTGTTGGGTTCCTAACACCGGCTTCTAGAGTCTTAAAATGGTCTTCGGGAATCCCTGTCTCAACTGCGCCAATGTCTATCTTGAATAGTACCGGAGTCAGTTCTGAACAAGTATTATTGGCTGCCACTTTGAAGCTTGGGAGTTCGAGGCCATGCCAAGGAATCCTGGCTCTTGCTTACCATTGGTTCTTGTGGCTAGATTTGAGGCAGTCATTTTATGTCCCTTTGGGCAAAGTCCTTCCTCTTCTTTAGTGACATTCCTGAGAGAAGACTTCAACCAATGAACTGCTATAAATTGTTTTCTTTTTTAACAACCTTGGCACACCAGATCTTTTGCTAGACAACTCGCCCGAGGGTGTACTTCATATTGTAGTGATTGCGCTGGCGAGCTGGTGGATGTTAACCATTTTGTTCTTAGCCCGAGACTGAGGCAGGAAAAGAGGAAAGTTTCAAAGTAGAAGAAAAATGAACAGTCGAGGACACGTCTGAGTCTCAGTCGTGTCCTCGATTGTTCATTTTTCTTTTACTTTGAAACTTTCCTCTTTTCCTGCCTCAGTCTCGGGCTAAGAACAAAATGGTGTACTTCATGTTAGCACGAGGTATTGAATCATTATGAATCTTTGGCGTCATGTTGGTGATGTTTGACAAGGTCATATCTCAAGCGACCGCAGCCTTTTATAGTGCAGTACTTTTTCTTCTGATATGGACCTCATCTACAGATTCTGTACTTTGCCGCAGCTCTAGCTCTTTCTGCTGTTGTCGGACTGTCTCCTGCTGACAGGCATTCGTAAGTGCTTCCATTGACCAGTGACAAGTGCAGTTGTAGTAGGTTTTTTTTAAACCATTCAGTTTTCCAGGCCGATATACAAGCAGTCTTTGATGAGTTCTTCTCTCATTTCACCGAAGTTGCCTGTATCGGCTAAAATGTGCCTTGGAAAGAAGTAAGCTTTGTAGTGCACTAGTGTGACTTCAATCTTCTTGGAGCTTTCGGGGTTTAGACTGTGTCTCAGCTGAGCCTAAGTGAAAGAAAGCACAGCGAAGGCTACCACACGAGCAAAGTAGAACGCAAAGTTGACACTCAGGCGCTTCTGCACCCCAGGCTTGTTGGGCTTTCTTTCACCCAGTCTCAGCTGAGAGGTTCATTCAAGAAAGCCGGCCCTGGACATAAGCTTACCGGCCATAAACTTGTCTGATGGTTGCTGAGGTTTTATGTGACTGTGAACTAGAAGGACTGACCAGCAGATTCCAGTGATGTGATTGGCCTAAGCTGTTTTGGAGCACCTTTTAGAGCAGCCAAAACAGTGTTTTGGAGCAGCTAAAGTGGACTTTGGAGCAGCCAAAACAGTGTTTTGGAGCAGCTAAAACAGTGTTTCGGAGCAGCAAAACTGGCTTTTGGTGCATACATTCTTAGAAAAATAAAAATATTTGTTTTAAGTGCTGGACAAACAAAGAACACTTTGCTCGCCGCAATAAACAATTTATAGTCAAGGTAAACCACCGAGTCTTTCAACATATAACTGAAAGGCCAATGACATGACACATTTTGCAATGCTTCAGTTAAATTATACATATATATATATACCCGCTATAGGTAAATAAAAACCAAACTGCACATATTAAAATTTATTTGAAAATGACCAACTTAGTAGTAAATATCACACCATTTGGTTGTCTAGTTATGTAATAAATGGAAGCAGTCTCTAACTGTTGATACACGTGACCACTGCAGTGCAGTGCAAAATTGTCGTGCGAGAGGAGATTGCTGTTCGATTGAAACCATGCCAGTCCACTCCGTCGCCAACTGGTTCCCAAAATTGTAAACAAAATGTAACTGTCCAGCATACAAAAGAAAAAAAAGTCCATTCGCACATGCTTGTTAGATTGGCTAGCGAGGTACAAGCTAAACACAGCAAAAAAAGAATATGAGTGCATCGATGCAAGACATCACGAGCGAGGGTCAAGAAGTTCTTGAAGCGCTTGGTGTAACGACTGATCTTAAGAGAAACAAGCGTGTTGTCCGGGTTCAGAGTGCAGACATTGCCTTCTTTGCTTTAGCTCACTTCTCTTCACCAAGTCCCTTTCGCGGCAGATTTTTTACGTACCCAAGTCCCCCTCCAAAGAAAGCCTACCAAGAGAAACCTTGGTAATCAGTACTTCGACACAGCAGTCTTTGAGCTTGAGGGATTTTTCGAGCAGCATATTGAACAAGAACAGGAATGTTGATGAATATTAGGGCGGTCCTTACGTTTCAGTTTAGAAAGCGCCATATGTGTAGCGACGTGGGGACTGCAACACCCAACGTCGCGCGACCATGGCGACTGGCAAGCAGGGACCAAATATAGTTTTCCCACAGCCGTTACTTTCAGGAGCAAGTGCTTCAGCTCACAATGTAACTCCCGCCACGCAAAAACGTGATTTCGTTTCACAGCATGATGGCATGGATGGTACCCAGCACCTGAGCGTCGGGGCGTCCGCAGATGCCCGCCTCTATCGTCGAAAAAGTTTTAAAAAAAAGATGCGAGACGATGAGAGCGCAAAACGCGAGACTGTGGTAAAAACCGTGCAAGATCGGATGAACGATTGATGAAGGGTACTTTGTGTCAGGCGGCCGCTTGCGCCACCTAGCTATGTGTGCCCATTATGGTACTCAATATAGTTTCGGTTTTGAAAGTCCTTCGGTGCAGGCTTGTTACAGATTACCCATATTTTTGCAAAATGTAGCAGGGTTAGCCCCATGGTGCAGTTTGGCGCAATTGGCGCAGCAATCACATCACGGAGATTCCGTAATCTTCAGCTTTGTATTTATAGCTGTCATCAGGGTTTTCCCCAAAAATATTTGAGAGGTGGACATCGAAAGGGAGGGGGACTGAGAGGAAGGGGCTCTAAAGCGCACTTAAAAACAATGCGCAGTATTTTCGCGCTTTCTTGGTCACACTGTGCCCTCGTAGCAATGATGCCAAATGCAGGCATCAGCTTGATAAGCATGGTGCTGCGAGATTCGCTCGATGTGGATGCTCCAAAGCACTATACGCTTCAAAGACTGCATCTTTTTGTTTATCCACGGCAGAATATAGAGTTCGCTGCTACATCACATTTGGGCTAGTGGGCGGCAAACCCACCACCGCCCACTGTGGCGAAAACGAAACCCTGACTGTTATTAAACACGAAGCTAGCTCAGAAATATTGGCTGGTGTCGCAGCAATGCTTTGCTGTGCTCCGTTTATCCTAAAGCTGACAGTGCAGTGTATGCTGCGCTCACGCCGGACCAATTCATGGCCTGGCTTTTATCACTTGACCTCGTTCTCCGCTCGTGAGTACGTGAAGGGAGAGGGGAGGTGTGTCCATGAGGTGCAAGGTCGACAGTTGACTGGTCCAATGGGTATGCAGCTTCCACCGCACCATCAACCGGGAAGTAAACGGCGTATAGCGGTTGCAAGTGGTTGTAATGCAATGTAACACAAATGTATAACCAGCCGTATGTTCCACAGAGAAGTTAGCTCTCTCTCTCGTATACCACTGTAGCGATGATTGAATACAATGTCTATTTAGCAGCTTATTAGATCTTCGCTCACTCCTCTACAATTTTTACTTGATATTGGTACACCTTTTTCAGAACATGCAAGTAGAAAGAACAAAAAGTGTTTTTTACTCTATAGTTTGCATTATTCATCTTTTAGAAAATGGTTCACCAACCTTTGTCAGAAACTACGTATCACTGCACCTTTACTGCTCTGGAGAGATTGTTCTTCCCTGCTTGATATTTCATGGTTTTGTTATTTGGAAATCACAATATAACAATATGTAGTAGCTGGTCAAACCAAGAAGGAAGTAATAAACTTATATAATGCATGTTAATAGGTCAAGTACTGTCCATTTTCACAAATATTTTGAGAAGTAAATGTTATGTTGCTAGTTAAGCTGAGGAGGATGGTTTAAATAAACTGTTTAATAAATACATACGGGATCAAAGCGGCAGCTATGGCGAATGCTCTTCAGTTCCAGACGCAACAGCGCGTGCCACCTCCTGCGAGCGTGCTCACTGGATGTCCTCTTCTTCTAAAATCAGAAAGCCCCATGACATCATAACATGCCCCCTTCTTCTTTTCTCTTTTTTTTTCTTCTTGAAGATAACGCAGTGCGATCGCGGCACTTGTCAGTCTCTGTATCATAGCGGCTTCACCACAACGCGTCGACTTTGTTTTTTTGGTTATCCTGTTGACCTTGTAGACGTGGAAATGTGTTCAAGTGATTCGCCATTTGGAACTGTATGGACATAGTCTTCAGCAGCTTCGTTTGAGACTGTAGGGAATTAGTTTTCAGCAGCTGTATTCGTTTCTGCTGTTCCATGTGCTTCTTTGGTGTGGTACCGGTTGCGCCTGTAAGTCCTCGATGTGTTTCTGCTGCTGCTTGTCCTGGTTCCACTTGTTCTCCTCGGCGCGAGACTGTTTCAAAAGGGACTCGTACCGCCGGGAGAGTTCCTCTATCTCGACTCGGCTTGCTGGTGCCTCCAAAGTTCGCGCTGTATCCCCAGTGCCCTCGGTGACATGTTCCATCGAGGCCTCCACTTTTTGGTTTGGCGCGTGTACCAACCCTTCTTCAGCCTTGAGGTGCTTGTCCTTGAGCAAGCGAAAGCGCTCTTGCAACTGCTAATTTGCTTGCCACACCTCTTGCAGCTCCTCCATGTCTTTTGTCCCACTGCGCCCTGCTGTTCCTCGAAGACTGCGAGATCTCGTCTGGCTGTTGCCCACTCTTTTGTGAGCTGAGCGCACCTGTCCTCCAAACTGCGTTTCTCTTGGGCTGCCGCGTGAAACTCTTCCTGCAGGTTCCTGTGTCTGTATACAATGTGGTTATACTTGTCCAACAGCTGGGAGTGGTCTCTCTTCAGCGCTGATAGTGCGGCCTCACACTTGGCCGCTTCGTCCAGCGCAGTGCAGTGCTCGTTCTCCATCTCCTTAGTAACCTTGACGTGCTGCTCGCGCTGAGTCTTCAACTCCTCCTCGAGGCAATGTCGTGCCTGTTTTAAGTTCTCAGCTAGCTGTTGAAAATGTTTGTTGTCGCTGACGAGCATCTCAGCTTGCTCCTCCAGGCAGGAAAGTTCTGACCCCAAAATGTCGGCTTCGCTTTCTAGCTTTCCGTTGCGTTTTAGGAGGCTGCTGACTTTCTCGTCTAACCTCTCGCACTCTGTTTCTGCCTTCTCGGTAAAGGAGCTTCCGTCTGCTTCCGTTTGCGACGAATTGTGACACTTAACAGCATTCTCTCTCTCTCTCAAAGTCTCCGCCACCTTTTCGTGTCTCTGCTGCCAGAGGTGACTTTCATTAGACACGCATCTAATTTTTTCACTCGCATCTTCACAAGATGGTTTCCACTGCTGACTTTCTTGAGCGAGGAGCTCGTTCCTAACTGTCAAGGATTTGACCCGTTGCTGAAGCACTGCCAGCATAGGGTTCAAGTCTTCCAGCTGACTTGCTTCAAGAGACACTGCAGCTTCTGACGACTGGTTGGTGTGCTCGATGATGCTCCGGACAAATGCTACGATGATGCTCCGGACAAATGCCCCGAGATCTTGTAACGGCCACTGGTACCGGTCCTTTAAGTACTGATAGTTTTGCTGAAGTAGATTGAACTGCTCCTCTTTTTTAGCAAGCTGGTTTTCCAGGGCCTCTCTCTTGCGTTTTGCGATTTCCAGCAGCTTCTTGAGGTACTGAAAGGCACTGAACTCTCGTTGTTCGAAATCATTCTGAACTAGCGGCAAGTCCTCGCCACAGTCTTGAAGAAGGACATCCTGCAAGATGCAGTACTCGGCAGAAAACCTTTCGAGCTCAAGCTGAGATGCTTCAAACTTCTCCTTCAGGGTGTTCGCTTCCTCCACCTTGACATCTACAAGCTCCAGATGCTTTGACAAATCCCCACTTAGAGAAACTAACTGGGCTTTCAATGCTTCGAACTCCTGATGCTTGGCATGAGAAAATTCTGCTTGCCGTGCTTGCATCTTCCCCAGGAGAGCCGAAGCTGCCTTGCACTCGCTTTGAAGGGCCTGCTCACGGCCAAAGCTCGCTTCGATATTTCTCTCGTGCTCCAAAGACATTCGCTCCCTTTCTGCCTTTGCCAACATCAACTCTGAAATCAGGCATTGTCTCTTTTCGGGGCGAGATGCCAGCATGCCCCTTTTCTTCTTTGACCGCCTCTCCAGCTCTGTCGCAGTTTGCGCAAGCTTGGGTGCTTTGGTTGATGGAAAAGGCCCAATTGTTATGCCTCCCAAATGGATTGTTTCATTGGGGTCATTGTTCATAAATGAGTTGGAAGTTTCTTCTACTGCAGAAACACGTCGATATCCGTAGGTTTTCTGCTGTGTCTGGTTGCACATTCGGGAAAAATGTCCAAAAATTCCACAGGAAATGCAGTGCTTTCCGTAAGCTGGGCAGTTTCGGGGTTGATGGGAAGTACCGCATCTCGAACATGAACTTTGCTGTCGGTTGCTGGATTGGTCTCTTTGTGGCTCGGATGGTTGATACCTTCGTTGCGCTGCTCTGAAGCTAGATGGCTGACGATAGAGTCCACCAACTCTAACTTTGTCTTCAGTTTTCTGAATATCATTCACATGTTTTCTTGAGATTTCAGCTGCTTTACAGGTTGAAATGATTTTGTCTAAGGTTAGACTCGGTTCACGAAGCAACCGTTCGCGCAAAGCCACGTCTCGTATCCCAATGATGATACGATCACAGATGAGCCTGTTTTCTTGAGCTCCGTAGTCGCATTTTTGAGCCTGCAGTTTTAGCTCAGTTACAAATTCGTCAATGGTTTGTTCTGGCTTTTGGCACATTGTGTTAAAAATGGCTGTTGCTTGTGTCACGTTTTTGTAAGGTGCATACAGCTTATCAAATTCGTGCAGTATGTAATCTACTGCATTCTCTCTTTGCCCGCTTTGATCATCTCCTGTTGGTTGCAGAGAAAAGGTTTGCGTAATTCGTCTTGCCTGAGGTCCAAGGCAGTGGAGCAGAAAAGCTTTCCGAGTTGCGATAGGCTTCGATGCATATTCACAGGCTGCCTCGAAGATAAGGTACGATGATTTCCACTCCTCCCATGCTCTTGCTGGGTCGTCACCGGGATGGAACGGAGCCGGCGGTTGTAGGAAAGCAGATGCCATATTGTTGCTGCTGTTGCTTGTTAAATAAAAAATATGGACGTTGAGCTGCTCACCACTTCTGACACCATGTTATGTTGCTAGTTAAGCTGAGGAGGATGGTTTAAATAAACTGTTTAATAAATACATACGGGATCAAAGCGGCAGCTATGGCGAATGCTCTTCAGTTCCAGACGCAACAGCGCGTGCCACCTCCTGCGAGCGTGCTCACTGGATGTCCTCTTCTTCTAAAATCAGAAAGCCCCATGACATCATAACAGTAAATAGACAAATACATAATGCCAGTCATTGGAGATTTCTTGACAGTTTGTGTTTGTGCCACTACTTGCTCTGGCTTAGGACTTGCAATTTCCGCACATTTTTTTTAGAGGCTGCAGCGTCTTGGATAGCCTCATTTTGGTTCCGGCAGTAGTTAGCAAGGAAAGTGTTAGCTGACACACTCAAGATGTGCGTCATCACAACCTTGGGGTCATGTCCAAAGTCACACACATCCAGGTCATCATACTTGGTCAGCATCTCCCTAGTGACAGACATAAGCAGTCCCTTCTGGTTTCGAACTGCAAAGAACTGTGCTGCATTCTCCTTGTCTGTGAGCTTTTCCAGCACTAGCTGTGTGTGGAGCACGGCATTCACGACTACGGCTTGGGGAAATTTCAGCCCTCCCCGGGAGATTCCTTTGATGAGGCTTGCATCGTCGAGCTCAATGCTTCTTTCTTCCAGGGTGAGGTTTTCTTCGCAAGCATCGCAACCAAGTTTTTTTAGGACTGCATGGGCACAGTAGCCTGCAATATAGGTAATCGCAGGCATCTGATCATGTTTGGCAGCGATGTCAGTAGCATCTACTGTGATGCTGAACTGGTTGCGTTCCTCCTGTGTCACCTCTTCGTGTGTTGCTTGTTCTTGTGCCCTGCCAAGTAACTCTGTGGCGGGCACCAGTGGTAGCATCTTTTGCAGCCTGATCTTCGTCTCCGACTCGTACAACTGGCGGATGGAAATGTGGTATTGTGTCCCAGCAAGCCTCCTGTACTTTCCAAATCTGGCTTCCAGAGAGTCTGTTTGAAATTTGCCGAGCAGAACATAGCTGAAACCAAGCTCCCTGAGGCAGTAGATGGACACCTTTACCAGGGTGGAGCAAGTCAGTCTGAGCGCTTTATGTGTCTCATTGGTCAGTCTCCCACTGTCTGTGTCCATTGCTTCCCAGGTGTCGAGCCACTGGACCATGTCACTGAGGAACTTGAGCTTCGGATCTGCCACAGAGCTGACAGGCTCCTGCATTGGATCTCGCAGCCTCTGCCCTTTCAAGGGGGTCTTCACATTCGCCACTTTCCACCACCTCACAATCAGCTCGATGAAGTTAGCCGTTTCCAGGACGTGCTGGATGCCGAGGTCGTGGCCAAGTGTCCTTAAAGCTTGCACGACGTGGTCATTGAAGATTTTCAAGACCAACCTCACATTTTGGCGCTCCAGACTTGATGGATGTAGCGCCTTGGCACTGAGTCCGTAGCCAAACTTAGCCAGTTGGTCAGTCTCGTGAAGCTGTAACTCCCTCAAGGCATCAAATGAAGCTTGTTGTTGTGATGTGGCAGGAGTCGCCGTTTCGATGCTTTCGAAGCTTGGGAATGCGAAGCACTTTCCAGGAGTTCCTTGGCTCAGCCAGTTATTGCGAATGCATTTCAACAAGTGTACAGGGTCCACAATGAAAAAGAGGGGCCTGTCTGTGTCTGCTGGGTGGCTGTAGACCATATCGAATTTGGCGTGGGTGGCGAATTGTGACATCATCTTGCGGTTGATGGCATTATTGTCGGTTACGACGGCGATGATCTTGAATCCTAGTGCCTCTAGCCTTAGAATAATTTTCTTCACGAAGCAGTGCAGCTGTTGGGCATCTATCTGGCACACAGGGAGGACATGTACGACATCTTTGTTGGATGACAACAGGCTCTGTATCATGAACACATGTGCTGTTCGTGCTGCTTTGCATGAGTTGGCAGAGCTGCCTTGGACATTTCCTCCCTTATAATCGATGTAAGGTTTTAAATGTACTTCATCCAACATGAGGGTGGCAACTTTTTCGTGATCCTCAAGGTGTTCACTTTGCTTTTTTATGTAAGACAGAAGCTGTTCATCGTCTTGCTCTGTTGAGGGGTTCAGCTGTTGGTTGGAACACAGTCTCCTGATCGTAGAGGGATGTGGCAGCATGATGCGGGAGGTGCCCCTCATAAACTTGTACGCGTGTGGCGAAATGGTGTATATGAGGCTTGCAAAAATGAGAAAGTCTGGTGCATACTTGGGCTTTTTTCTCAGGAGCACATCTACCTGTTGGCACAAAAATGCCAGCGCGTCTGCGATGTCCTGAACTTCATTGTCATTCCTGAGGTCATCAAGTAACGACAGGATGAGTCCAAGAATGGCGTCCTTCTTCTTGCTGGTGCCAGGTGATGTGGCCGACTTGTCGAATGCTCTGATGTTGTCGAGCAGGTCAACCAGCGTTTTCAGACTGGTGATGGTGGTCGGTATCCAAAAGTCGCCTGAAAGCTTGGTTGTCTTTGTGCTGTAACAGTATACTGATACCGTTAAGTCAGGCTTCACAGTAACGGAGTACTTCAGCTGTGGGGCGTTGTTGGGGTCTTGGTTGATGTTCAGGAATGTAACACCTTGGTCGTTTTGAATGCAGTTCCAGAAGGGAGTAGCATTGATGTCTTGGATTTGGTCTATGAGTTGGTCAAATGAGATATCATTTTCCTCATTGGGTTCTCTTGGTCTCTTTTCAGGTGGCTCTGCCAGTGGTGGTTCTTGGGGCAGTGAAGAGGTGCTGCAGGCAAATATTGTCGGCACAGCATTGTTGGAAAGTCTCGGTCTATCGAGACGGGCTTGGAGGACTGCTCCGGTTCTGGGGTCTGTGTACTGTGTTGACGTGATCACGAATCTGTCTTCAAAGTGTGCTGCACACACCTACAATAAAGAAAGTATGACTGTTTCATGTGACTGCTGTTATGTGGTTGCCAAAGCAGCTGTAGAATTTGGTGAAGAATGTGAAATAATTTTGTAGTGAGGCATTTGACTGTTTCATTGCCTGTTACGAAAAAAATGTCTCCACTTTTTTTCTTGACAATAAATATTCTGGCATTATTGAATTTTAGATAGTTCTTGATTTACGGTTAGCTTTTTATAACGCATGTTCGCCACTGAAGGCATGAATATATTTCCTCAATCCAAACTGACCCTTTAGCGAAGGAAGCTAGTAGATTGTCCTTCAAATGATGTAAAAGCATAGATGAGTGCCATATATTTGCACTACATTTCAAGTAGTGCAAGAAAGAGTGAATAAGGAGAGTTGTACATATAAAACAAAACTAAGTAATCGAGGTGCTTATATATATTATTTCCATTTTGAATGCTGGTGTATCAAAGCTACATTTGTTTTTACTGTACTGGAGTGCTCTGTGAATGCTCTGTGCACTGTATGTTAGTTAAGCAGAGAAGTTTATATTGCTGGTGGCCCACATCATTCAGCATATCCCGTCCACCGTAAATTACGGGCTTGAGTTGAGCTTATTGGTGAATTATACTATAACTATAAATAATATATGCCTAATAATAAATATAATGCAAGTCTGTCCCCTTTTCTCCCATTTTTTTCCTCTTTTTTTTTTCTTGTTCCATAAGTTCATCTAACCATGCGTCAATCGAACCTGGCCGAACCTGGCACCTTAGTTGGGGTTCCAGTTGGACTCCTCGGGCAGCGACAACTCTAACTAGCAGTTGTTTTGATATTCTCTCTCATCAAATATTCAGCTTTTAATTTCACAGATTACTAAAGTCACGTGGAATATAATACTTCAGTGTTTTTCTTGGGGTAGAGAGGAGTGCATGACTACAAAGGAACTATAAAAGAGGTGAAGGTGTTCTCCAGTGATTGTGCACTGTTGGGACTACCCCTGAGGATTGAGCCTGTAGCGTAGAAAAGTGCCTGCACTGTATGAACGCACGTGCGAGACCGGAATGCGCAGAGCGTTGGGCTGGTTGGGCACGCATCTCTAGCTTTTCCTTAATTCGCTCGCACGGGACACCGTTCAAAACAAGAAAAACACGATCAAAACATGAGGACTACGCTTCGATTTAGTGGAGTCCGTATTTCGAACGTTGCCGGCACGCAACATCGAAACAGCTGCCCGGTAGGACCCATTCACAGGGCAGCGTTTTCTTACGCTACGTTACGAATGCAAGTCTCCTCGACTTCGACATTCGTGCTGCATATGTGCCGTGCGCGAAGTTACGCTGAACCGGTTGTCATATGCGCCATTAAGCACTGAATATGCAATTCCTGTACCGTGGTGCTCTGAAAAGGTTGCGAAATTACATATCGTACCCCCGCGTCAATTTTTCTGTGCGACGTTGAAACTTTCTGATCGGCTCGCAGCTCGACTGTATGATCAGCATCACGCCGACGATGTCGTCAGTAACTCGGCGCTGCAGCACTGCGGAAGCTACACTTTCTTCGTGAACGGTGGGTATAGTAAGCCCAAATTGCGACAGAACGTCAGTTTGCAGATGTACCTGCCGAGTTCGCGAGTGCGCTCTTACGTCGATAGACAAGAGGGGAAAAAAAAAAAAAACTCTTCAATAAAACAAACTGCACTACGTGCATTTCCTCGCCCGTCCTTATCGAGATCCCATCT